TATATATATATATATAGAGTGAGAGCGAGAGAGAGAGATACATATATACATGTATGAGTGTACTTAAAAAATAAGAAGAAAAAGTGAAGAAAAAATAAAAATAATAAAAAATCTAAAGTCAGGTATTTTCTTAGTACGAAAATAGTATTGCCCAAAAATTTAGGGCAACTAATACGTCTTCAATTCAAACTTTATTTAAAAATTACCTCGAACTCTGATTTTAGAGAACTTAAGTTAAATTGACCGGCTCGACGAGACAAACACAATAAAACTAAAGTTAATCCAATTCAAATCAAATTAAGCTCATATCAATCCGTTAAAATCACTTTTGAATGATTTGAATGTTTAACTAAAAGGTCAGACAAATTCTAAATCGAGCATCTCGATGAGACGAATCAAATGAGCCCAAGATCACTCAATTCTGACACTATCAAGGCACTCAAATGTCCGTAGAATGTCATCTAATTAATGAGATATCTTTATGCCAACTGATGGAGTGATTCGTATTCGTTCCTTAATTGTAGGGAGACCTCTCCTAAACTTTATAAATAAAGTCTTACCCCTTTCATGAAAGAAGACATAGACCTTGAATCTGAGAAAACCCAAGACTTGTCGGAGAAGGAGCCAAGGTTCAATGTTCCACACTTAAGGTTTAACAAACACCAACTGTTCCGACAACCATCGACCACGGCTCATCGGTCACTGCTAACCACCTTTGGATGCCCCGTGCCAATCATGGTGAAGTCCCTTGTGGAATCACGATGTGCGCTGCAAAATTATGTTATATATTGTAAAATAATGAAGCATCTTATGGACCAACACACTAAAAAAGTTTGTGTAACAATGCGCCCCTAATGACGATGTAATAATGCCTCAAAAATCATGTAAATTGCACTTTGCATATAGTGTTGCAAAATATTCTGAAGACGGTGTAATGATGCACCCCGAATATTGTGTAATAATCCAACATGAATACAATGCAATGATGTGCTTCACATACGGTGCAATGGTGTCCACCAAAGACAGGATAAACCCTGAAGATGGTGCAACGTGCACCCCACATACAATGTAGCAATGCTCCGTGAAGATTGTGTAACAAAGCAACCCAAAAACGATGTAGTAATGCACTACGAATACAGTGCAATGATGCACTCTACTTACAGTGCATGAAGCTTCCCGTATATGGTGTAACAACACACACCTCAATAATTGTTTGTAACCGGCATACTTAAATACGACGACTGTCTCCAAACTTGTGAAACTCTCTTCTTGCAGTCCACCACTATGAACTACATGACCTACATAGTTCACAACTAAAGCAAATCCTAACTTTGGCCTATGTCACATATGGAAGTTATCACAACTTGGTACTTTCTAACTCTAGTCTATGTAGCCTAAAGACACCATCATAATATATGTAGCTCTCAACTCTAGTCTTTATGGCCTAAGTACATCATCATAGTTTATGCTCTCAACTCTAGCCTCTGTAGCTTACGAATATTATTGCAACTCCCCGCTATAGCCTATATGACCAGTTGCGGCATACACGATCCACAACTGATGCAACTCTCAACTTCGACCTTTGCGGCTTACAAACATCATTGCAGCTCACAACTACGGCCTACAAGATTAATACAGCTTGTGTGACTTACAACTCATGTAACTCCCTACTACGATCTATTTAGCTAACATAAAATTACAAAACAACCATCTACAGCCTACATAACCAACCACTATCATAACTTTCAACTATGCACAACATCTACGATAATATGACGCTACAACCACCATCTCTATAAAACTCACGATAGAGTACTGTCGAAATAACAATCAACTATGACCTTCACAACCCGTTACGATTATTATGATCGAAATACTATTGATATCAAAGTTGTAATTTCATCATTCCTAATTTAAGAGAATAGTATATATTTATGCACTCATTATGCAGAGTGGACTATTTCAATTGCCCCACGATTTTTATTTTCCTTTTCAAAATTTTCACGTAAAAAGTTGAGACAGCTTCTCTTACTTACTATTATATATGAGTATGTGCTAGATTTTCATGCAACGCTAAGACGCTAAATTGTCACTCAACCGTCGTGAATCTTCCGGAACAACATTAATAATTATTTTCTAAAGTTACATACACAGGTTTTCATATATAATTTTATGGTACCAAAATATTATAAATATAATTATAAAAGCTCAAGGGTTTTAATATATAAATACATAAGAATTGTATGGTAAGTAAGTAAATTTTACTTAATAGTTTAGTTTTATTTATTTAATAATTAATTATATTAATTAACAAGATAACATGGGAGACATAAGAATAATTCATGCCAACTTCTAAAATTAAACTATTTTGTCTTAGGTTGTCAATATACTGAAGAGCATCAGAAATCCGAAACGCTTTGCAAACTATTTAAGCTGACAAGTTCTCAGAACAAATTAAAAAACCGAGGTGCTTTAAAATCTATATGTATATATTCTGTTATCATGCAAAGAGTAATTCATAAACAGCTTCAAACTATATATGATTACAACATCTATATAGATTTTGATATTTTCAGAGCTTTTTCTCACCTTCCCGACTATATCATTACATGTGGCAGTTGTGAAGCCTTAATTCATGTGTTAAATTTGGACAATCTAGTTTGCATGCAATTTGATTCCTTAGAGTGGGTAAGACCGAGCCCCCTTCAAATGCTTCTCACCCTACCTCATGTTGCTCCAACCAGGCCATGTCAGGGAAAAAATATTGTGTCAGAGACGCGATCTAGAGGAGGTCAGAGCCCCGGAGTACCGCATCTGTTGTTTGGACTCCGGACACCAATACTTTTTCCATGTCATGAGGTTCGACCCACCTAGAACAATATTCAGGTGCCATTAGTAATATTACACCTGGACTGCCATACTTTGATTTGCTCTAAAACTGTAGCCAACAGCATGGAATGATAACCCGTCAACTATAACATGATTATTACGATGATGAGCAACCAACCAGTGATAACGCAGTGAACCAATGTCAGTTTTACAGCAATCATCTTCTCTGTGTATTGAGACGACTGACATACTGCCTCATGCTTACCTAAATTAGAGGTTCCATTTCTTATATATCTGGGGCACTACAATAAGATGACATTCAACACATGACACACTACAGTAATTAAACAAATTTTGCGTCGACCAAATCAGACGTAAACTGAAGGCAAATCGGTCGATATTTTTTGTTTATCGTCGGATTTGTTCCCGATTTACGTTTGTTTCTTTCCACGGGTAAATCGGGGGTCAATAATTATTAATTTAATTAATTTGGCGTTGAAATATTCCGACGCAAATAATCTGCACGTCTTTGCATTGTATTTGTGTCGGATTTATTTAGTCTATATGTGCGTCGACCTTTTTTATTACAATATACTTATAGAATTAAAAAAACCCACCTAAAGCAGTTGTAGAGTTGCTCCTAAATGACATTGTTGTTCAAAAATTTATTTTATATTTCTATAGTTATCTCACATCATTTTATGATATATCTTTGTTAGCAAATTGAGCATTTTGT